CCCCCCCTCACCTCCTGCTGTGGCGCTTGGCTGACTTCTGTGCCACTCAGCTGGGCTGCCGCATGGAAGCAAGTGGCGCAAATAGCCGTTTGGGCTCCACGGTCCCCTGAGTAGTGTTGTAAACAAGACATAAGAAGTAATTCTGCTTTATTCTGTGCTGATTAGGCCTCAACTGGAGTATTGTGTCTTGTTCGGGGCACCATATTTCAGGAAATATGTGGACAAAGTGGGGAAGGTCCAGAGAAGAGCAACAAAAATTATTAAAGGACTAGAAAACATGACCTATGAGGGAATATTGAAATAATTGGGTTTGTTTGTAAAAGAAAAGACGGAGAGGGGATATAACAGCTTTTAAGTACCTAAGAGGGTATGTTTCCAAAGTATGAAAATGCTGCTTGCACCATGAAAGGCAACATCCATGTCCCAGGAGTGTGATTGCTCTAAAAGCACTCGTGTTTCGGTTGATGAAACAGACACTGGAGTGGGTACAGTTCTATGCCAAGAGACGAATAGTGGAGAGTATCCCGTTTAGCGTAGGAAAAATAATATATTGTTCCCGTGAGTAAAAAGATAGACCCAAAAGTTGATCTAAACCATAGCTACAAGAAAACATGTTATTGTTAGGAATTGTATTTATTTGGATGAGGGACCATATTAATAGATGGAGAGAAATCAAGTGCTGGATAAGAGCTGGCATGTCAGTAATTAGCATTACTTTTGTATCTATTTTTGCTGGGGGGAAGCTTTTTATTGAATATCCTTAATAGTGAGGTCCCATTAAAGAGTGATTGTCCAAGGATGGGGGTGTGATCTCATAGGGTGGATCTAGACTACCTCGAATAGTCAAAAGAGGATATGCAAATTGCGTGGGAATTTGCAGCAGACTGTCCTTGCCTACGTCAAAGTTTGGAGAGTGATAACTCTGCTGTTTGATTACTATTTCATAGAGTACCTAGGATTTCACTGTTACACACTCTGGCTTTTGGCCAAAGACCATGTTACTACAAAAGGGACTGTTTGCGGTCTCGCGTACTTGCCAAATGATTTTAAAACCCCAAAATGTCAACAACGCTGGGGGCAACAGAGTGAGAGAAGCTGCATAATCACTTAATCTGTGGTGTATAGGTCAAAAGTTAGGATGAGGTGGAACAGCACATGCTGAGGACAGAGTTCAGCAGCCTGGATCTTGAACTATTTTAGGTGTTAAAACATCAAAACTGTGCCCGTGCTTTCCAGGCAGCTCACGTACTCACTTTGGAAAGAGTCTGACAAGGTATGTTTTATCTAATTCCCATTGGGTTTAAAGTCTCAATCCTGCCCTGCTTCAGCCTGAACAATAGAAGTGTAATAAACCAATGTTGCTAATTATCCTTCAGTGTCTTAAAGTATATAAAAACAGCTATACTGGGTCTAGCCCAGTGTCCTATCTTCCAATAGTGGCCAAGTGCCACATGCCCCAGCGGAAGTGAACAAAACAGGGAGTCGTTTTGTTTTCCAGCCCCTTGACAAATAGAGGCTAGGGATACCATTCCCCCTCATCCTGGCTAATAGCCACTGATGGACCAACTTCCATGAATGTATCTAGTTCTTTTTTGAACCCTGTTCAAGTCCTGGCTTTCACAACATCCTCTGGCAAGGAGTTCCACAGGTTGACACTGTGCTGTGTGAAAAAAATACTTCCTTTTGCTTGTTTTAAACCTGCTATCTATTCATTTCATTTGGTGAGCTCCCTAGTGCTTATGGAATGGGAACAGGTAAATAATTCTTCCCTATTCACTTTCTCCATACCTGTCATGATTGTATAGATCTATACGAGGGTCCGCCCTTAGTCTCCCCTGGAGCTGGCTGGAAAATGTTGTACCCATACATTTTTGACTTTCCATTGGAAAACGGCAATCCAAATGTTCAGTCAAAACACCATAGCTCAGCTTGCGTCTAGACTGGCAAGATTCTGTGCAAAAAAAATCTTGCCGCCTGTCTACACTGGCCGCGAGTATTTGCTCAAGAACACTGACGTTGTAATGGACAAAATCAGTCTTTCTTGTGCAAATACTCTGATGCTCCGGCTCAGGGATAAGCCCTCTTGTGCAAGTATTCTTGTGCAAGAGGGCCAGTGTAGACAGCCACGTTAATTTCTTGCATAAGAAAGCCCAATGGCTAAAATGGCCATCGGAGCTTTCTTGTGCAAGAGAGCGTCCACACTGGCACGGATGCTTTTACACAAAAGATGTCTTTTGCGCAAAAGCATTCGTGCCAATGTAGACGCTCTCTTGTGCAAATACTTTTAACGGAAAAACTTTTCCATTCAAAGTATTTGCGCAAAATTTTGCCAGTCTAGACGCAGCCTCAGTGTTTGGGAGAGTTTAGATATCAGTTTTACTATGGAGTTTTCCCACGGAAAGCAGAGAGATTTTGTGAAAACTCTGGGATTAGCAGAGAGCCCGACTTTCTTTTGAACCGTTTCAACTAGCCCTGGAAATCCCCTGCAGTGACAAAAGAAATAGAATCCCCCACAGAGCTCTTCACTGCGGCTCTCCAGTCCGGCCCCTTCCTCCCGCCATTACGGGAGAGGGAGGAAAGATGGCTGCTGAATTCGGGTCCTGTCTCAAGCGCTCTCCTCATCTCCTCGGCTATGACCGGACTTGTTCTTGATGCTCCTGTGAAGGAGCCGTAATTTTGACTGCCGATGCAATCGGTCTGCCTTTTGGTAGATCTCAATGGCTTCGGAACAAGGAGTTTCAAATAACTTGGTATAACATTAAAATGGCAAAAGGGATATCAGGTGGCCACAGTGGAATTGGATTGGGAGTTTGGCCAGGAGAGTGGATGAATGAAAAATTAAGTGGAATCTCTGATGACCACAAGTCGGTTTTATGTCGTCTCCACAAAAGCACCTCCGGTTGCACAATGTGCCCTGGCCTGGTGTCCCCGAGGGTGGGGGAGCCACCGGGCCCTGCATCCCCCTCCGCAGCTAGATAGGACCCTCAGCCGGCAGGTAGAACAAAGGGTTTCTTAGTTCCCAGGGACACAGCGTAGAACAGACTTGTTAGCATAAGAACCAGGAGCAGCCATCTTGAGGAGAGGGAGGCCCAGAGCCAGCACCTTGGGCCCCCTCCTTCTAACCTAAGCCAGCCAGGACTCCCCCATACACTCAGCCACCAGTTCCAACCCTGTAGGCAGCCCCGCCTCTTCCTTTGTCCAGCTTCCCTGGCAAAGGGGTCACCTGATTGCACCCCTCTCCAGGCTCCTGTTCCAAAACGGCTGGGCCATTGTGTATGTGTTGGGACTGGAGCAGCCTACCTCAGTAAGAGTCACACGTGAAATTTCCATCCCCGTCTAGATATTGATGCAGTGCCCAGGGAAACTGAGGCACAGACATGGGGTTACCACAGGACAGGAGAAACCACATGCCACAGAACCAGGCAAATACAGTCTCCACTTTGCCCCATGTGGTTATGTCGCCACGGCATAGCACCGCCTCAGAAGGTAGGCCAGCATCGTCTCTCGCGAGGACATGGCATGCAGCAACAGAGTCTTCCTCAGAGGTCTCCCATGCAGGTACTTAGCTCGCACTCGCCTGGCTCAGCGTATGGCAGCTTGATAGTGTCTCAGCACCACACAGGATACGCTGCGACCTCGGTCTCCTTTTCACATCTCAGCCGGAATATTTGTTCCAAGCAAACAGCAAGTATGGGTGCGCTCAGCGCTGTCCTTGGTACTGAAACCTTCCCACCCCCTTGGCTGGCCTAAATTCTGCAAGAATCGGGCCAGAGTTCTTTTAACCGAATCCTGGAGGGGAGGCCCTTGTGCCTCAGTTGTTTGATGGGTTATTTTAAAAGTCGCTGGTTTGAATCCAGCCTAAACCCGTAATCTCTGGAAGCTGTTAGCAACTGAGGGTCACTCCCGGGACAAGGCGCGGTGGGGGGGGGAGTGTGTGAAAGTCCATGTTCCGTGGGGATACTGCCCACCTCACCAAAACCACCAGGATCAGGAACCATCTCTGTAGTTCGCTCAAGGACTTAATGGCCCACACTGAGTGGCCTTACCCCTTCGCCCACAGGAGTGCTCCTTCTGAGTCTCAGAATCCTAGAACGGGAAGGGATCTCGAGAGGTCATCGAGTCCCGTCCCCTGCCCTCACGGCAGGACCAAGCACCATCTTCTAGATCATCCCTGTTAGATGTCTATCCAATCTGCTCTTAAATATCTCCGGTGATGGAGATTCCACAACCCCCCTAGGCAATTTGTTCTAGGATTGGGGTGTGGGGAAGCCCCTATCGATGCTTCCTGTGCAGTGTGAGGATTCAGCCTCTGAGATTCTCTTTTACCAGTATCAAATTCACACACAGACATCTTTACAGACAGAAATGAGGTGGGGGAGGGGGAACCGCATCTCTCGCCTGCAGGGGTGGAGGAGAATTTTGGTGATCCCTTGTCCCGCTGCTGTCTTGGGGGCAGCAATAAAACCAACCCAGTCATTTGAATAAGCAGCCAGCCAAGGCAAAGGCAATCCTGCTTTACCCCGATCAGTTTCTCATGTATGGAGTGAGGCCATTATGCCGGTGTCTGCATTATGAATCTCCTGTCGTCTCCGCTGCGTTGCTGCACAACGCTTGATTCATAACAGCAGCCCAACCACGGGCTTTTCCCTCGCTCCCAAGATACATCGACAGGGCAGGATTGTTCCACTGAGACGCTGCAAGCAGGGAGAGTGACGAGAGGAGGGAGGTGGTACATGCCGGCAGCTCTGAACGGCAGGCAGTCTGGGGATTGCTATGCAGGAGAGAGTTCAGGGGGAAAAGAGGAGGAAGTAGGAGGCAGCCCAGGCTCGCAGAATGGCAAGAGCCAAGCTGAAGAAATCCCCCTCCGAGATCAATTCACGTGTAAAAACTGTCCCACCAGCAACGACAGAGGATGTCCATGGGGTCAGCCCCTTGTTACCAGCTCGGAGGATGGGCTCCTGGGGGAGTGATGTCGGACAAAGGTATTGCAGGACTGCAGTGGTGCATGAGGTTTAGGGGGTGGAGGCGGTGGCCTGTGGGTTTTTTGAAATATAAGGGCCAGATGAGTGTAATTAGTGGCTCTCGGGTGGTGACGTGCATTGCTGTTGGGAGACGTGAGAAGCGACCCCTCCCACCCCCAAGCCTTAATGTTCCCTGGTGCATTGGGCAGCAGGTGAAAGCCAGTTGCTTTTTTTTGACAATTGCACAGGCGCTCCGGTGGCTTTGAATAGCACAAAGCAGATGGGAAGAGGCAGCGCCGAGACCTCTGAGAGCTGCCCTGCATGGTGTCTGTGTGCTACCGAAAGGAAGCGTGTGTTACGGTGCTCACACGCTCCGGCACGCGGTGCCTATGCACCATAGTCTGAGCTAGAATCAGCAATGCACGATTCCCCCCGCCGAGGAATAATGCATGTCTGCTCCCACTTGGAAATAATCAAAACACTTGCGTGCACAAATGCAGCAGCTTCTTGCTGTTAGCGCCCAGCAGCTGTGTGCATGGCATGACGAGCCATTGCTTAGATATGCCAGAGTATTGTTCTATCTTGCCCTTGCGTTAGTCAGCGTACAAAGAAAGAAACCAGGGAGGTTCCCAGTGATTGTAAAGCTGCTGGTATTGTCCCTCGCTTCCGCTTCTGTGTGTTCTGTTTTGCATCTCGTTTGTTTCCCCTTCATTTTCAACCTTTCACCCCACCAGCCCTCTCTTCCTTCTCGGGACAAATGGCTTGTCTCACCTATGATCATGTACTGTATTTCTCCCCCCGTGCAATGGGTGTTCTTTCTAGTTCATGCTTCCAACGCAAACGAATCACCGTGAGATAGCATCTGCCCGGGTCAGTTTTCCTGGCTTGGCATTTGCTGGGGCAGAATTAGCTATTTCAGAAGGAGCATCTCCCCACCTGTCCGTGGGCCAGGGGAAAAGTAGCAGAGGTGGTCGCAGCTGGAAGACAGGGAAACAGGCGCGTATCCTAGAAGCAAGGCGTTGGAATGGAGGTGCTCCTCCGGCTGGTGGCATGAGCGGGTGGTGGGTGCCAGAGGGTGCCTGGGTTCATGTTGTCCTCCCAAGGGTGGGATTTAGCTAGAATCAGCACAGAATCTGTCTGTCTGACTCGCGAGCAAGACAGGGGAACAGGCACCTTCCAGCGGGTGATCTGGTGGGTCTTTGCCAAGTGACTTCACGTGCCCAGGAAGTTGCAGAGAGGCAGCATGCAGGTGGATTAGAGCCAACGCAGACCGACCCGTGTGTCCTCGGCGCCTTGAACCAATCTGGCTCCACTGGGCTGTCCACCTGTTCCGGGGCATGATGAGGATCGTTTCCTCCCCCTCCACCAGCGTGCTCGCCTTAAGGCCCCCGTGTGAATGGTGCTTTGAACGATGCCCGGGCCTGTGGGAAGCAGGGAGGTGCAGAAGCGTGTCGTGTCATTCCTTAGTCGTGCGGTCGACAAAGTTGCGGGTAGCCAGCAGCGTTAACGGAGAAACCTCTGCATATCGGTTAATCATTTCATCGACTACACTTTTCCATCCCTTGTGGGAAGTACACAGGGGCGTCGGGTGGAGGCAGGGTTGGGGGAGGCAAGCCCCCAGCCCCACCTCCAGCCCCGCCCCTTTTTCTGAGGCCCCGCCCCCACAGGGAAGTGGGACAGTGTGTAGTGAGCGCGCTCCCCCTCCCAACCGCTGGGAAAGGAGAGGAGCAGGCGGGCGCGAAGGAGGAGGTCAGAGGGTGGACGCTGTGTGGCAGGTCCCCAGCCTCTGTAGTCCCAGAGGAGGGCATGCCGTGTGGCCTGGCCCAGCCCTGCCTCTCCAGGCCCAGAGCGTGGGGAGGGCGGGAGGCTGAGGGTAGCGGCACTCCACCCCCAACGGCTACTGCAGGCATTCCAGGGGCGGAGTCTGGGCGGGGCTATGCCTGGTGGTTTGGGAAGGCAGCTCCTCCCCCTGCCTTACATACCGGACACCCATGGAGGTGCAGCTACACGCCTGGAAGGGCAGCTGCGCTCTCATTGTGTGGGCAGACCTGCCAACGTGGCTGGCTTCGCTCGCTGTGGCTGGTCGCTGTGGCTGGTCTTGTGCCGCCAGCTCGTTCTTCCCAGCAGTGGGGGGACTCTCGGGCTCTCGCTGTCCTGTGGCCTTAAGCAGCCTCACACTGCCCGAGCCCATCTGCTGCCAAGCAGCCAGAAAGGTACCAACTGAGAGGTACAAGGGGCATCCTCCCTCTGCCAGGCCTGGGAGCTCAGTGCCCCTGCCCAGCACTCCTGGCCCGGGACTGGGAGCCAAGACCCGCTAGCCAACCCTTCCTTCCTTGTATGACCCTTACACCAGACCCTCTCCGGGGCAAACCGATCCCGAGGAAGGAATTTTGGGAGGGAGTGTCCCACTGGGAGGGGTGGGGGCAGAACCACTGTGGAATTAATGACACGGCAGGGGCTTGAGAGGAGGCTGTGACACGTGCCAACGTCCCAGGGGGTCTCCACGAGGAGGGGGCTGCGTCTGGGTTTGCAGGGACGGTGACAGCAGCACAATAGGTCGGACTCAGTTTCCCTTATAGGCCTTTTAGCTGGAGAATAGCTGCAGGCCGCGAGTGTGGACATGGGGTTCTGCACTGCTGTGCGTCCCGGTGGCTGTAATCCCACCGCAAGCAAACGGCACGGTGCAATGCCATGGATGTGCACTAAGAGGTGAATTTGACAGTCTATCGGTTAGATGCGGAGAGCAAAGCTGGAAGCAAGAACAGCCATGCTAGCTTAGACCAAAGGTCTATCCAGCTCAGTGTCCTATCTGCTGACAGTGGCCAATGCCAGATGCCCCAAAGGGAGTGAACAGAACAGGGGATACTCACATGATCCCTGCTCTGTCACCCATTTCCACCTTCTGACAAACAGAGGCTAGGGACACCATTCCGGATAATCAAGTATTGATGGACCTAACCTCCATGAATTTATTTAGTTCTTTTTTGAACCCTGTTAAAGTCCTGGTCTTCACAACATCCTCTGGCGAGGAGTTCCACAGGTTGACTGGGCGTTGTATGAAGAAAAATTCCTTTTGTTTGTCTTAAACCTGCTATCCACTATTAATTTTAACGAATTAACAGTTCATAGCCTGGGGAAAGAATGATACCAACCTCTTGAGGCCTGGTCTAGCTCTCAGCGCCAGTACTGACCACGGCTCGCGCTCTCTTCCTGTGTTCTGTGACTGGTCTGTTTCCTTCCCGTGTGTGCCACTTCTGGTACCTGAGTTGTCGGTTTGAACCAAGGGTTTTGCCCGTCATGGTGGCTGCTTAGGGGTAAGCAAAGAGGGAAGCTTGCTTTGAAGCGGGGAATAGCTTATTTAAGATGTTCTAACTCCTCCAAAGCCAGACACTGCACAGTTCTTGGCAGCCCCACTACCTCGAGCTGCGAGAATTGTTCCTGGGAGTTCTGGCTGAAATAATAAAGTGGCGGCAGAAGTATAAAATAAATATATCACAGACTGTTCCCAGGGATGCAGATTAATTTGCTGGGAGACTACAGCCAGTAGCTTAGACTTGTAGTTTTATTTGGCTCTCAATATTTCACGTTTCAGTGATTTCTGCCGTAAGAATGTGGTGGGTCGAGGTCTGGTGCAGAAAAATGGAAGTGGGCTAGTTTCAAAATAATACATTCTACAGGGGCTTGAGCCTCTAAAAACGACTTGAAGTTCCTCCGGTGTGCAGAACAAAAAGCACTTTTCTTTGGGACATAGAAGCTTCTGAAGGATTCATTCTAGGCACACAGGAGCCGTTCCTCCTGGAATCTTTGGTGTTATTTCTATGCCTCAAAGGGCTGGTCAGGGCTGATTGTATTCCAACCTCCCTGAGCGCCGCAGAGGGGAACGCCGCACAGAATTTGCCTCTGCCTAGGACACGCATTTATAGAACGGGTCGTAGAAACAGGGCTTCCTCTGTGGTTTTGGGGAGCTTGGTTAGTGAATGTTCCAATATGGGGGGAACTTTAAACCGATTCTGCCGCAGCCTTTCATTCCTGAGTGGAGTTAATGGTGCAGGGAGGACTTCACAGGAGGGAACACATAATAAACAAATCCCACAGCGGGTGTGTCTAGACTACCTAGTTTTGTCGACAAAAGTGGACTTTTGTCGACAAAACAATACCAGCGTCTTGTTAACTTAACAGCTCAACTCCATCCCGTTAAAATAGTTTTAATTTCCCATTGTTAAATTAAGCTCTTGTGCAGGAGTTACTTCCTAACGGTGTCAGACTTTCACGGATCTGGTTCCTGTCAGGTTCCTTCCCTACCTCTTCCCTTGTGGGAAGCGGGAAATCTGGGCTCTTTTCCTGGCTCTGAAATGGAGTCATCATGTGGAGTAGGGCCAAGCTGCTATTCCGCTCTGCCGCTCAGTGTCTACCTCTGCAAAGTATTTCTCCACCTGCAGCGGTCCTTGCAAAGTTATGGTGGTCATCTGGGGTTTGGGATTTTCAAAATCAGGTTCCAGTTCTGCCCCAGACTTCCTACGAGACTTGAGCAAGCTGGGGAGTGGCTCTGTGCCTCAGTTTCCCATCTGTAAAAGGACTCTCAATGTCGTGAGGCTGAATATTGAGGCAATCGGACACCTCAGTGTTGCAAATGTGTATAACGCATTTAGCATCTGCTGCTGCAAAGGATTAAGTGCCGTTCTAGCGTTCACATGCATCCTTCTGTTTCCAGGATGATGTGAGTGCTCCCCTTACAGCTTTTCCGACAGTAAGCGGGGCTGCTCTTATACAATTCTGTTTGATTCTATTCCACTGGGAAAAGTGAAGCGAGCAGAATTTATTTTACTTGAGTCACCCTTAATGAATTCGCTGGCACATGCTTGCCCCCTAGAATCTTCGCCACGCAATGTCATTCCTGCCGGGGGGAGGCAGTTCGAATATGGGTGTGACCTCAGCAGACTGTGGCAATGCCTGGAGCCCATCAGAACACATCTGTGACCAGGTAGAGCAGCCATCCAGGCGTGTGTGGGGAAAAGAGGCAG